TATATATATAACATTAGCATATTAACAATCTCACAAATAAATAACGTCAGACAAACCTGATAGCCTTCATTCAAAAGTTTCTCAGTGTTCTGAAAAGACAAATACGCCTCAGCAACTATAAAAACCTAATGCAGCCTCCCAAACCAACATGATGTGAGTAAACAAAGCTAACAATATACTGATCCCTCCGCCCAGCAGGAGCCGTGCACCCCCCACTCACACACACACACACACGCACGCACGCACGCACGCACGCACGCACGCATTCTAAACCGTGGCACCACATCCCCCCATGTGCCTGAGTGAGAAACTGAGACAAGCGAATGGCGAAGTTCAGGGACACCCTTGTTTTTCATTTAAAAAAAAAAGATCAAACAAGGCAACTCGGTCTGCTGCAGCGGAGGGCCACACGTCATTATGTTTCATGCGACGTGCACAAATCCTGACAGTAAAGTTTGCGGTGCTCACGTAATGGGATGATGAAGCGTGGTCACTTAAATGCAACCAAACCATTCACGCTTTGGCGAAGTGACAGCAGCCGTGTCATTTGCACTGAAAACGCTCCCATTTAAAAAATACCAAAACTAAAATAACCTCTGAACACAACCTGCCTCACACGAACAACTAAAAGAAATTTTGTTAATATCTTGATTTAGCAAATATCAGTATTGTTATTATTATTTTTGTTGTACAGATGTATGAAAAATATGCTTATTTTGTGCATTTCAATGTAAACCCTGATGTGCTGAACAAACACATCTGGACAGGACTGACCCTGGGTGCCTCTGCAGGAGGAGTCTGGCTACTCTTCAGTCGACTCTCATTCTCAGTCGGACTTCTGCTCTCTGCCTGGCTTGTTTGTGTGCTGTGGCCTGCTGGTTCTGACCGAGACTCATGCATCTGGACTTCACTGACCTGCAAAAACAAACAGAAAATGGCATTAATAGAAAGCAGCTAAAGAGTGCACCAGAATATGACTGCATTCAGAAAACAGGGTGGTTGCTTTTTAACGTGAACATTATTTATGACAAAATTTTTAAAAAAGTGACAGAAAGTCAGTCATGTAAAACACTAAAACACATACAAGTTAAAACGCTCACAGTTACAGCCCTGCTCACTAATACAAACATGCAGGGAGAGAGGAAGATGTTAAGTCTATTTGTTGAATAACCAAAGTGCTGCCATGACTACTGTAAACACAGGGGCCCTGGGTCCGTGTTTATGTGCAAACACATCTTCCTTCTGGAACAATTTACCATTAACCAGGTGGTGCGATAAACGGCTGTGGCAGGTAGTACAATGCACAAGTAGGCTTTTATGTATACAGCTTGGGAGTGTTTGAGTAAAAAGCTCAGCAGCATAAACAAAGGTAAATAAAGCAGGCAAACAAGTAGTGCAAGGAGAGGGAAAGCTACGCAGGGAGCCTGAAATGAAGTGGACCACAAAGCCTCAATGAAAATGTCAGTGTTTTCAGCACTGCCTTCAGTCACATGCTGAGATTAATCTTTTAATCAAATCGATCTCATATGCCCGACTGAGAGCCAACAGTTAGAAAACATCAGATTAGACTGTACATACTAAGATAAAACCCCGACTAAAACAGTGCCAACAAGTGGTCGAGGCGAAATAAAACTGTTGAAAAYGATGAATGGATGACTACGCAATTACAGGTTCTGTCTAGCTGCAATTCACGAATAAGACATAATTTATATGGTTGAAAAATTCCACTAAACCTAAACTAAAAACCTGTCTGTTAGAAACAGGCAGCTGCTGGTGAAGGCCCACTGTTTATTTTAGCTTTTGGGATCAGGATTAGTTTGGAAGACAAAGGGCAGAGTTTCCTGGAGACATTTTTGATGGTCTCTGGAACAAAAATGAGAACTTTTTTGGGGATTGTCTTATTCATATGTACATACTGAAGTATTATGAGATATAACTGCTCAGGGGGGGAAATAGTTTCAAAAACACTTTAAAGACATGTTTTTAAAGAAGGTACAAATTAATAAAGCAGGTACAAAAAACATGATGGAAGCAGGATATCATCCTGTTTTTTTTAATAACTTCACATATAACAACAACAACAAAAGTACAAGTACACATTACTTGGATTATTTTTATTTATTTTTTTATTCTGGTGTAGTGTAGAAAACGTAGCAATATTAAATCTGCATATTTAATCCAGACCAATCCAACCCAGTCAAGGGTTACCTCGCATTAGATCTAGCCTGTTCAGATATTTGTCTGCTTGTCATAACCTCAGTGAACTCCTGCCTGATTCAGTCCTTGTTCTTCGACTGCCCATTGTGCAATAGCTTAAAGGTAAAAAGATCGAGGAACACGATTTGTTCAAGAAAAAAATTATAGTTTTATCAATTCTGCTTTGATTGGGGTTCTTGGTACGGATTGTTGTGTGTGTGTGTGTGTGTGTGTGTGTGTGTGTGTGTGTGTGTGTGTTAAAGTTAATCAAACGTTCTATCCAACTCCCTGAAGTGCACATCAGTTCTGACCATTCTAATCCGCGACACCTACGACGAAGTTACACTTATGAATGGACGCAGTTTGATACGATATCAACTATTTATTACACGTTATTATCACAACGTTATTGTGTTTTAAGTTGTGTTTTAATTTGCCGCGACGCAAAGTGATCAGGTCCCATGTCCGTTTTACGACAACCTGAGATTTCCGTTCAGGACTTCAGCCATTAGCTTACATAAGCTATACACACCAGGATAAAACGTGTCGTTTTCCATCAGAAGGAAGAGGTGTACAGACTATTTAGAATAACATATTCGTGTTAACTTCACAAGAACACAGTTGTTTGAGCACAAAAGCGAGCAGAGCTCACGTTAACAGCGGCTACAACAAAGCTATTAGCAGTCTAGCTAGCTCATTTAGAAGCATTTCTCTCTCACCGCTCTCTGGACTCCCGGTGATATAAATAAATGGTTGTTAAATTCTATACTTGTTCACTGGGTGTCGGAGAACTATTGAATTATTACTTACTCACTGAATTATGAACGATCGGACAGTCTGACTCTGGGTGGTGTCGCTTGAAGATACCTCGCTGCTGTGCCTTCCTCGGTAACAAGCTAGCCACAAGTTGCTAACGGCGGGCGTGGCTTAGGTAAAAGTAAACAATGGTGACGTCATGTTAACACGAGGACCGCTTCAGATCCGCCTGAAATTTGACGCATAAAGAACATGCATGTCTGTTACTATTTAAAGGGTGAATACTTGTCTTTCTTCTGTAAAACATGTTAATATTGTTTATAAACAGTATGCAGGATGATAATATACTCATTTTATTCTACAGTGTTACACAACTGCATGAAAAACAATATAAAATTGACATGTACAAGGATTTTTTAACCTTAACGCCCCCCAAACAAAAGCAAAACCACAAGATTTGATGACACCCAACTGTTTCAGTAAACACAAAGAAACGCACACAATAACCTTACCCAAAACACAACAAATGCTTCAGAAAATACAAGAACACCAAAAACATGACATTTCAGAAAACAAAAATTGTTCAAAAATACTAATGTGAAAAAAAATACACACACACGCACAAACAAATAAAAAATGTGAAAGAATTTCCAAAAACACAATAAGGTATTTTATTATTAGCATTTTTGTGATGTCATGTTTGTTTAAACTGTAGTTGTTTGTTACAAGAATTTCAGCAATGGAAAACTTGGAAAATCACTTTAACTTCCTACCTACATGTTTAGTTAAAAAAAACTTCTTAACTACATTTTTATAAAATATGTCATGCTGGTTAACTATTTTAAAAACAGTGTTAGAGCAGCACTGATGTTTCATGAGATCAAAAGCTCATACATTTTTACTTATCTCCTGACAATAAACCCTCAGTATTAAGATTTCATCTCATTTTATAGTCTAATTCAAACAATGATCCAGTCTGACAGTGATTTTCTTTTTAGATGCTGGCCATCTTGCAGAAGTAGTTAGTCAGCACATAAAGATGGCCACTATGAAAAACTGCAGATTTGCATTAAACAAGTCAAATATTGACTAGACTTTGTATTGAATTCCATCCATGATTAAACCTAAGATATGTACACTTGTGCAAACACAAGAGGGAGACATTCTCACTCTAGCTGCTCTTTCATTAGAAGCAAAGCTGAAAACTGTATATTGAATACAACACTTGAGTGTTTTTCTGGTGTAATGACATGTATTAATAAAGTAACTATCAGCTTAGTAGTTTATTAAGAAGTGTATTGGATTTATCAATAATCATGTAAAATAGTTTTCCAGAAAATTAAATCCCGATTTCGAGAAAAACACCATCAAGCCTAAAATTTCAGATTATTCATCATCAACTTATAGGTAAACAATTTCTGAAGAATATCTTTAAAAAGAATTCTTTATTTTTCAATTTYTAACATGTAAAAAAACCCAACAAAAACAACTATGTACACAGTTTCAACATGCAGAACAAAGAGGACTTTAACACTGTCGCCAATGATAGAACGCAAGGCACCATCCAAGGTCAACAATCTGTTGCAAGATTTCAAATTTGAAATGAGCCATCAGAAGAAAAAAAAATGATGCAGGGAAACAGTATTTTTTTATACTTCACTGTGCAAACCCCCCCCCAACAAATAAACAACCAAATTACAGTTGGCAAATTAAGTCTGGCACAGTTATCGGTATACAATAAGAAAATGTAGTTTCTCGATGAAAGTCAGACACAACGTTACAAACTGTTAACATTTCAGTAAACAATGGCAGAAGTTCACCCCTAACCGGACGGACAATATGAACACATAGAAGTTGTAGCTCTTACCAAAGGAAAAGAAAAGTAAAACAAGAAAACAGAAAATAAATTGACACCTCATGAAAAGGTGACAAAGCCAAAGTGCACTTTGTCTCAAGTTTCACAACTTCATACAGTTCTAGTGGCACTATCAGATGTCTTACGAAAAAAGACACACAAGCAAAATGCTTGATTTAAGGCAAAAGCATAAACAACATGATGTCAACAGCACAGCAGAACTACCAAACCTGTACAGATAAAGAACAGAAATGATTGCATGTATTTCTTATAATCAAGGTGTTGTGTGCATTGAGGTTATTTTACTGTAAAAAGAAAATTCTCCTTTCACACATAACAAGAAAGGATGTGCAATATTCTGCAAAAAACACGAAACTTTCTGCCTACTAAAGAGTTAGTCATTATCCAAAGACTAATTTACACAAACACAAAAATCTGCTTACCAGAATCATAATGTATTATTATTTTTTTTATAATTATTTTGATTACGGAGCTCTGTAACTTTAAACCAATAACCAACAGTACATTAGGAGATCTGTGCTCAGTAATCTGAACAAATGTTAAGAGTGCATCTAATTAGCTTTTTAATTCTATAAAATATCACAGTATTTAAAAAAACATTAAAAATAAAAACTAAAATAACTTTTGTTTTTTTAACAATAACAAATTTTTGGTTTTTAGGGATGTCAGTGGTTCTTTGAAAACATTCACCATCACCGAGTCACAAAACGTGGGACTGATTGACGTAATTAAGATCAACAGCTCAACTCAACTGTTGTCTGCCCAAGTATTATGGTACAAATACTAACTGCAAAGAATATCGTATGAAAACGTCCGATGTGCAGAATTAGTGTCTGCTCCGACCGCCTTCGAAAGCATGGTGCTCCTCATGAGCTGCAAAAAATAAAGCAATCAAAATAAAAAAAAAAAAAACATAAGCAAAGAGAGAAAATGTAATGTTTTTGATGCTTCCTGACAAATATGAACATCAACAGAACGATGACGATGCTCACGTTTATAAAACACAGCTTTAAAAGGCGTCTGTGGGAGAAGCTCATAGATCTTTCCTAAGACATTTGACTCGTTGGCACAGGAAGCGTTCCCATTCCAAACCTGAACGACATCCTCTCTGTCTCTGACACTGACGCTGACCCCGACGACCTCATCCTCTGCAAACAAAATCACAACAGATATTTCACAAATTTGATAACATCCATGGGATTAAGTGAACGGCACTGTGTTGGTGTAGTCATATTTATTCAAGGAACCTTGGAGATTGGMCAGGATATGTTCTTTAATACCTCAGACCCACTATTTTTCCTTCTGCACCATATATAAAAGTATAACCATCCTGYCACTGACTGATGGAGAAAATGTATTCTTTGCATTGTTGTTACTTCTGGACAGGACTTACAAAAAAAAAATGTATTCAAAAATATGCTTTAAATGTCAGCCATATTTTAAAGGCCTCATGGCTCCATATTTTCACAGCAGAGTGCTTCTGTTTCAGAGTGCAGCTTGTGTATGGTTCTTAGATTTCCCAGAGGTTTTCCAGCAGTCCTAACCATCAGCCGTCAGGCTTCTCTCTGGTGGAACCAGCACCAAGTACGGGTTTGGGAGCCTGATTGTGTTATAAAACAGGGGAGCAAAATGGAGATGTAGCGTGACAGATTGGTGTAATGGAATTTGAAATGCGCTTTCATGTGGGAGAGCCGAGTTTGAAACCCTGTGAGTGTTGATTATTCTTTTGAAACAAACTGTGGTTAAATGCTTATAATAAACCAAAATAGAAATTTAGGTCATAATATTTGGTTCAATTTTTGCCTAGATGTCTTTTCAGCAAAAAAATAAATAAATAAAAATAAAAAAATAAAAAAATAAACTCACACACCATGCACACGAACCCCATTCTTGTTAATGTCACTCAGTGTTTCAGTGTTTTTACTTTATTTGTCTGGTTTATAGTCAGAAAAAGTTCAACTTTAAAAATCAACTTCAGCTTTCTTTCTGAGCGTCACAGCTGACTGCTGTCTGAGTAGTAGTGSCTTCTCCAGAAATATTTTACTGCAAGGGGAGACATGTGGGGGCCACTGAAAATCTTGGGGTGGCACCAAAACCAAAAACTCAGAATTTCCAGAGTTTTGCTATGATAATGTCATTTATGAGTTATTTGACAAACACAACTTGTATATTATAAAGGTTAGACAATCACCTTATAATATACTTCAGCCTACAATAGTTTTTTTTATCTTATAGTTGGTGTTACATATTGAGAAAAGCCTTGTCACTGCTCAGTGTAATGAAGCTTGTCCTCTCCTAAATTTACATATACATAAAAATAATAAAATATATGCATAACCTCCTGAGAGTCTGCATCTTAATGTTGAGGACATTGCTTTTAGAACATTTGTCTCTATTTTTGTTGTGTATTTTCCAGGCACAAAGTTCAATTCTATACCACAATCAAGTAACTGTTACCTGCAGTCATTTTGAAAATGCCTACCGTTTCTGACACTCCCACTTCAGCACGTCTTTACGGCAATGCTTCAGGGAAGGGGTGCCCTGTGGGACAGAAGCTGGGCTGCAGACTGAGCTCCAGGGAGGAGCTTTGAGTAAGCAGGYGGTGTTTTGTACCTGCAAGTGTTTAGACAGCTCCACATGGCTGCCAAGAATCTCTACAACATGCACGAATGAGTCAAAGCAACACTCAGTTTTTGATGAGGGAATGATATTATGACATGGTAAAAAGCTAAACTGGACTGAGCCAAAACAAAGCTGAGGGAGGAAGAATGCCAAATGTAGCGATTACTTTTTATAGTAACATTTCTTTTTGGTTTGTTTGCTTATAAACGTCTCCTATTTTTGTCTGACTGCTGGGAGCAATAACATTTGGTTTTTAAGTGAATAAATCTGGGAGCAAAAACCCAAGATTGTTGCCACCACTTTAGAAAATGGGGGAACAGCTGCTCCGCAGAGCAAACTAACTTTGGGAGGAAGACAAAATACCTTTAAAAYGGAGCTTTAAACTTTCCACTTTGGTAAAAAGATAATAGTCCGGGTTGAGTTTGGTTCCACTCAGTTGTCTCTTTAGTTCTGCAGAATTAGACCAGGTATACCACAGCAGGTGTATTTCACCTGATGTGTCTTCTTAATCCCCAGCTATTTGAGCTAGGTGACTGCCCTGGTTTTGTTGAAGGGGTTTTTCTGTCAACAAATAAGGGTTTTATAAATCTACCTAATCCGACTGGATAAAATAAAAATTAAAATCTGAATTGAACTCTCTTAGCTTTATTTGTATCGTCTCAAAAAATAGTCTAAAGTTAATTAATGTTGGCCATTGGAGCAATGAAATTCACTTAACTAGTTACCAAAAACAAAAAGACAAGAATAATAARGACATCTACCTGAGGCACAATAATCACTGAACTGTTCTCCAATTGTAGCCAGCAGCAGCTCTTTCCACACAGAAGACTGCAAGCAAGACAATAAGTTTGTTAAAAAGAGAACGCAGGAAAAACACCAATCATAAATACTTAGCATCGTTATCTCACTTACAGTGCACTCTTTGGGCACTTTCATTTTCCAAACACCGCCTTTAGCATTGCTCTCTTCTTCCCTGTTTGCAAACACACAGGAGAAATAAAACTAGGCATTATTTATTCCTAAAAAGTCAATGAAACATACCTTATTCTGCAGGGGCAACTCACCACAGAGGCTTCCTTTCTCCCCTCATCAGATGATAGCTGCACCTCAGAGGTAAGCTGGAGACACTGGGTATGTTGTTGTAAACTCTCCAAAAGTTCTGCCAAGGTGAGGAGAGCACACGTGTTATTTTGTTGAGACACAGTCACAGCCTGAGAGTTCTCCCTTGTCCTTTTTAATCACGCCTAATCTCATTTATAATTAACTCGGCAGTCTGAGTTGCTATTAACTAGAATAACTCGATGTGACGTTGAGACCATAACAGCATCGTACCTGGACAGTTTCCACGGTGTAGATTTTCTTCAGGTTCGACTCACATTCAGCTGCCGTGGTTCCCGGCAGAGATCTGTCACCGGGAGGAAACGGAGGCTTTGAAAAGTCTGTTCTAATTTCATTTTTGTTTCCCCGAGAGCCATGTTATTCAGATGGATCAGTGCTGCCCTCTGTGCAGACATGCTGGGGTGGTGGTGGCGGCGGTAGGGAGGATCAGATGACAAATAAGCCAGTAAACAACACTGACCCCATTTGAACACAGCCCCCTTCCCCCCCTGTGGTTTGTACACACTGTACATGTTGGGAGCATGTGACAAACTCTGTCATGACTACTCAGTTTTATTTAGGTTTCTTTAAAGTTGTGGCTGTTACTTTTATAACTTGTATTTCTTGTGAAACTTAACCCACAAAAGTGTTTTTTTCTTTAGATAAACTG